TGCAATTATTTAACCATAAAGTAAGCATGAGAATAAACTTCTCTGGTATTTAAAATAGTGGCTATAGGTAGGTGGAAAGTCTATGATTTCCATTTGAATCATGGCCAAGTCAGGAAAAAGATATGGGTAAAGTTGCATGATTTTAAGCCAAGGCAGTGTCATGATGTGCAATGCATCGTGCAAAACATAGCTATCTTCTAATAACGAAATGCATTTCAAAGAAGATTTTCGTCACATGAATGAGACTAATGACCCAAAGCGCAAGCAGTTCAGGCTTTCGTCACTTGGAAGCTTGCTACAGCATTTAACTTACATTGAACTTGTAATGCCGAATCCTGCACTCGACCAAAGCGGGGAGGAGGCAGACAGCAAGAAGCATATAACGGATGAGCCATTTGGAGTACTCCATACTTGCTGACTTCGAGACCTTTCTGTGGCTATCTCTCTGTTGCTGTTGGTTTCCTTCTTGCTTTCAAGCTTGTTGTCTTCATCCATGACTGGCTACCTCAACCTTATAAAGGGAATATGGGAATTGCTGCCATGTCGTTTTTCACAGTTAGGTGTGGGTGAGTACATTCTTGGAAAACAAGGATTAGAAGCCTAATCTTACTAGGTTTCTTACATGCTACATAAAGTCTTCTTGTTCATGGATCAACATAGATTGGGAAGATGTGTTTTATAATTTTTGCATTTATTAATTAGGAACCTTGCATGGAAGTTTGATAATTTGGCGGCATAGGAAATCTGTAAATTAAATTATTAAATTTCGCACCCACTTCCTGCATATTAATCCTGAAAACATTCTCTTGTCCTGCTATTTACTCAAGAAGGTTCACAAAAATATAAAAACAGAGTAAAAGAACATGTGGTCAATTGATCAGCAACGGACAAGTCACCTTAAGTAATCAACATTTTCATTTAATTGCCTTGGAGTTTATTTTATTTTCTTACTCTTTTTTAGGACCTGGTGCTCTTCGTAGATGTAAGAACAACATGGGTTATAAGTTGGGTACGCCAAACTCTCTTTTTCAAGGCATTACGTGTAGTCGTTGCAAAGGATGTCCCAGGATTACTTGCGGCTGCTCTGAATTCTGAAGATGAATGCTCACCAGGTCCTTTCCACGGTGATGTGTTTTTTGATTCATTATTATATGAACATCCATGCTTGATCCGATCAATATTTTCAATTCAATTCAATGCTTTTGCGCATCCGTCTGCTTTGGGAAAGTCTAAAACGCTGGTTTGTTAAATGGCTTGATGCGGCTATTCAAATCAAGTTGATATATTTTAATGTCAAACGATACATGAGAGCTTTTTTTTTTTTCCCCCAAATAAAAAAGAGGTGCAAAGCCATGCCTGCAGGCCTCCCCAAGCACACTTGTTTAGCTTTATCGTAACATGTAATATGAGTTTTTTTTTTTTTTTAATGTGAGACTTTTTTATTTTATTTTTTAGTATTGAGTTAATTATAAATTATATTTTATATTTTTTTATTATATAATAAAATAAAATAAAAAATAATTTGATCTAATAAAGCCTATAATTTCCATCATAGATTGACTACTTAACGGTTTTATATCATATTTCTAGTGGTGGAAGTAAGCAAGTAATGGTCGAGGTTGTGGGTTTGATTCCTTCTTACATTAATATATTCTTTCAAACAATAGATGAGAGGTTGTTTTTCTTCTTCTTTTTTCAAATAAAAAAGAGGTGTATGGGCCATGACTACGAGCCCCTCCCCAAGCCCACATGTTCAGCTTTACCGTAACACATTATTTGAATATTTTTTATATTTTTTTTATTGTGAGGTTTTTTTTAATTTTTTTAATATAAGATTGATTATAAATCAAATTTTATATTTTTTATTATATAATAAAATAAAATAAAAAATAATTTGACTTAGTAGAGCCTATAATTTCTGCCAAGGATTTGACTAGTGAATTAGGTTTAACTTAACATTTTTTTTTCTTTGTACTTATCCGATAAACAAGATTATATAATAACAACTTTCATATGATTTAATTTAAAATTTAAGCTAAATAAATTTTCATGTTGAGAGTTGTCAAGTTTGAACCAGTATACTTAGTTTAATGATAATGCCAAAAAAATTTATATAATTTATATATTATTTTCTTATGTTTCAAAAAAAATTCATCCAACCCACAACAGTGTAGGAGATAAATTAGTTATATCTAAATACATCAACATCCATTACTCATTTTTACTGACATTAATATTGTAACAAAAACATTATGCTTTGTTAGTGGAATATTTTGTTACAAATTTTGTCTAAAAACATGGTTAATGAAAATATTTGAAACCAAATTAAAAGTAAATCCATTCACTTTTGGGGTTAAAACTTCGTTGGAATTTAATCTCCAACAAAAACTCTTTAACATAAACAACTAATATGATTTAAATAAATTGCAGATAAACCAAAAATTATTCTCAAATAACTATTAATTCACATATTTTAGTGAAACACAAAGCCCTCTAAAAACTCTATCTCATGTTAGGAAAAAATAAATTTTTCTTATGGGTTATTTAACGAGAAGGTGAAGAGTTAATATTGAGACCAAAAGGAACCTAATTGTTTAGATGGAAAATGACATAAGCAAAGTGAGTTTTGAACTTAAACTCATACACAAGTGCATGTCAACATGACGTAATTTGGTCTAAATTTGAATTTATTATAAAATAGTTTCTTGTAATGTGAACTCATAAACAAGAAAAAATACAACCCAAAAGGATAGAATCGGATTGAAGATACCTTGAACCAAAAAATTGAAGCTATTGGATGAATAACAACAACCCATTGATTATTGAGTGTAAACATGTAATAGAATAAATGATAATAATTATTTTTTATTGCTAATGTATAACTTTAAATTTGATAATGAGTAGGAGAAAGAGAATTTTTATGTTTTGTTAGGGCCATGAGATAACAATTTGAGAGGATGAGTGTAATGTTTGGCTGAGGTATAGCATCGTTAATGAGAATAAGGAAGGAGAATTTTTTTTTCTTTTTTATATACAGTTTTATGCTAACAAGTGTAATTTTCAATCTGAATATTGAATTAAATTGATATTTTATCAAAAGATTTCACAAATCTTATTTTTATAGGGTTAAAATTGAATATCAATCAAAGTTTGGGAAGACTTTGAGATAAAAACTAGAAAGTAGTATGCGGGGATTGCATTATTTTTCTTGTTAATTTAGGATTAATATCTTTCCTTCTCACTTATAAATTTTCTATAAAGTAGCCTTTTTATTCTACAATGACATTACAGGCGACATAATTAGAGTTATTAATTGGCAAGGTTCCCATGTTTCATTATGATTCAAAAGTTAGCGGTTTCTTTATTTTACATGGGCACACGAGAGGCAGTAGTAGAGTTCCAATTTTTACAAGGTACACCTTATTTTTTAAAGCTATACAAAAATTATAAATAAAAAAAATAAGAATTAAATTAAAGAATATGATATTTAGTAAATTGTAATTGAAAAATAAAATTAAAAACAAATAAAATTTCTATACAATAACCTGAAAAAAAAAAAAAAATAATGACTGAAGTTGAAACACCAACAATAAAAAAAGCAAATTATAATTTATTAGGAAGGAAAGAAAAGAAGAAAAAGAGAATAAAAAAGTCTATTGACAATAAATTAAATCACCACCAAAGATATGTATCATACCAACAAGAAACAAAACACGATAGTACTTCCAATAATAAGATAAAAGGATATTTTTGAACAATAAAAAGTATCACACACAGCACCCATAATGTGTTGGCACCTCCCGCATCCCTTATAATGTCATATATATATTTAATTTTTTTATGTAAATATCAAATCATCTATAATTATACACGTTAATAATGAAAAACAAATCTTTGGAAAAATCCTTTTAATTGTTTCACTATACTTTTTATTTTTTTTTATATATTTGTCCAAATACAAAATTGCCCTCATCTTACATAATAATAACAAAAAAATCCATTTTAAAAGTACAAAATTGTCCCTGAATGCCAATATTGAAATTTTTACTTTTAAGAATATTTCAGAAATTTTACTATATTTTTTAAATAAAAAAAAATATAATTGCCTGAAGTAAATTTGAAAATGATTCATATGTCTTATCAAAAGACTTTGATGTCTCAGGTACCTACTTATAAGTTTTTTTGATGGAAAAGACAAAGACGTCATTAGAATGTTCTGGTGAACAGTATTAATATATCTGCACCAACACTATTTTCCTAACTAGTTTTAGCTATAGCATATTGGAAAACAGTTTTAGCTATAGTGGAAAAAAAATGTGAATGTATCTTTTATTTTATCAATCTTCTTAATTTATCTTTTTCTTTTTTTCTGTTTTTTAAACAAAAAATAAATAAATTAGAAAAACAACATAAACTCAATGAAAAATATTAAGTTATAAATGGTTTTAAAAACAAAGAGTAAATATATAGTTACAACCATAATTAATTAATTAATTTTAATAAAGTACAAAATTAAGTTACCAGTCACTCCATGCTTCAGTTTATATTTTTCCCTTCTCTTTCTCTTTTCACCTACTATTTATATGAGAATTTGATAAAAATTATTTTTAAAAATATTTTTATTTTAAAATATATTAAAATAATAATTTTTAACATTACCATATCAAAAGTATTTAAAAACATACAGCTTTTGGGTCTAAGAAATGCAATCATTGCTAAAAATTCTGATCATTGCTGTGTTATGTAAATATTTGTTTCGCTGTGCTAAAACTTTGCTTCCTTAGTCTTTAACAATTTTGATACTTGTCGAAAAATGGAAAGACTAGTTCTAATCGAACACTAGCATTTATTATTTGCCTTCATTTTTTTATTTCTTGAAGGGCTTGAAAGCCCAAGTACCGATTCTGGCTAGACTCGGGTCAATATAGCTTAGAAAAATTAATCGGGCCTGATCTAGGTCTCATCCGACCCGACACATGAACATATGTAGAACATACAAGTTTTATTGATCATGAATGGCTTTGTGATCAAATCTTCAATAGATATATTTATTCAAGAAAAAATAACATTTGAATTGAAACAGCTATACCGCTCACAAAATTTAATTCAAACTCGCTTGAGCAAATCTCCCAATTCACTCAAGAAACAAATCGGATCTTAAACCCTCAAATTATATATATACACACTCTGCTCTCTTCGAGCAAAGAATGTTTCCACCGGGACCAAGTTTCCTAATAAAGTATAGCTTCTATCCCTCAAGTTAGTGTCGTTCTTGATCTGATTTCAACATTTTGGAAGGTCGCTTGGCGGCGGTAGAAGAGACTCCTTTGGGCCTTTGCCATTGTCTACCAAGAACGCCATCTTAAGTCCCCATGTGGTGTGCACCTCTAGATGGCAATGCATGAACCAAACTCCTACAAGAGATGCGAAGAAGAAAATCAGAGCATGAAATTAAACAACCTTGAAAATGCCAAGCTCTGTGGACTTCCAAACGAAAACATTAAACAGCAATTACCTGGATTATCGGCGCGAAATCTTATCGCCACCCATCCACCAGAAGGTACTCCAATTGTGTTCCGTTCAACGGGATCAACGAGGTTAAATTTCTTAGTATCAGTCTTCGGGTTGTAATTCCCTACTCCCCTACCGACAGCAAAGAAATTGAATCCATGTAAATGGATCGGATGGTTCTCAGGGGATATGATCCCAGTATCTTGCATAACAAGTTGTACTGTCGAGTTGTAGCTCAGCCTGTAAACTTTGGTTCCACTTTTGGTCTGTAAATTTGTAGGTGGAGTGCCAGTGTAATTGAAAACATGCGGTGGCTTTGCAGGAAAATCAGTGGTGAACACACCGCTGATGTTGAAGAAATGTGCTTGAAGCAGGGCAGTGGTTGGCATCACAAATGTGACATTGTTAATACTAGCAACAACCCTGCTGCCATTACCAGCTTTGCAACTTGGACACGGGTTAACTCCTAGACCAACTGTAAAGAAAAGGTTGTGATCAACGTTCAATGGGACTTTGGCAGGAAATTTTCTTGAGTTAAGGCTGCGTAGAGAATTGATAAATTGGTTGGCAACCGCAGTGGCATTCTTTGGAGGTGGGGTGGTGAGAGTTGTAGGGGAGTTAGCAAGTGCTCCTGAATACTGCAAAGTGGCTGTTGCTGTCATGTTGTCCACCGCAATCGGAGAATCCATGAATGGGGAGGCAGCAACCAAGTACTTGCCTGTATTTTTGTTTGTCGTGACAAGGACATTGGTGGTCTGGCCTGGGGCAATTAGGACTGTATCGGTTTTGAATGGTTTAACATAGGTGGCATCAACTTCGACGAC